CCCAAAATATGGGCAAATATAGGGAATCCTGTTATTTGTGTGTATTTATTTGTGTGTCCTTGGGCCCCTTCATACTCGCAACTATCCGAACAAAATCACATGGCTGAGTCGCAAACTTTCGAGAAAACACAAGGCAAACACGCGAGAAACTACTCGCACACGTTCGAACACCAACACAAACAATCTAATGGATCGGAAAAAAACTCGCAGCGGGAGCTACTTTGCGAGTCGTGGAGCGCGCTCTTGAACGATGGGGTCCAAGCAGCCATATCTCGACTACGCGTTAGAGTGACCCTTCGAGAGTGTTTTTTTTTTTTTTTTTTTTTACTTTCTGGGCCATCTCGCGCGTCATGCCCCCTACCCTCTCCCCGCCTCCCCCCCATAGTGTAACGCTCCCCCCATCGGTGCGTCCCCCGCACTGCCGCAGTGCGCTCGGCACCACAGTATGGGGGAGGGGGGGGCGGTACGTTCTGCCCCCTCCCGTCCCCCTCCCCCGGTTCCCCCATCCCCGGCCGCGAACAAAAAATGCGCTCCTCGCCAGTGTGGCCTGGGGGTCCACTGGGGCCCCTCGATCGCCGAACACGATGCGATGTTGTAGCCTTGCGCGCTTGGGTTCGGTCCCCCCCTCTCGCGGCCCCCCCCCAAGCCGGGCCGTCCTGGGCCTCCCCGATGGGGTCTAAGCAGCTTTTCGTTCAAATTCCCTCAGCTCCACATGGGGGTGGCGCCAACATGGGGGTGAAAGTTGAACGCGCAGCCGGGTCTAGGTGAGGGGAAAGGAGACGAAAGGAGACAACAGGAGAAAAAATCCGAAACACCTTGAGAGACATCGAGATCCATTGGACCATGATTCGGGCCCCGAAGACGGCTCGGTAATGCTTTTAGCGCCGTCTGGCCTGCAAGAGGGGCGGCTGGTCGCCCCCCCCATCTGCGCCACCCCCAGGTGGAGGTGCATGCGCTTCCAGGGCCCACTACGTTTAGGTCGGGCCTGTCCCCCTACAGGGGGATTTTGAACGAAAAATGAATATTCAAACAATGCTGAAAAGATGTCCACACATACTCCAAAAATATTCCCCAGACTATTTCTTACTATTTTGGAATATTCCCCTTGTAGAGGGACAGGCCCAACTTAACACGACGTGCTCCGTGCCGACCCAAGAAGTTCGCGCGCGCCTCTGAAAGGTTGTCCTCTTGCAGTTGTTTGCCAGGCCTCCTCGTTCTGGGTCTGCGCCCCCGTGCTCCTCCCCCTCCTCTGCGCAATTCAAGCTCTGCGCGGCCCGCTTAGCTTCGACCGGAAGAGGTGCGCTCTCGACCCGCGAATCAAACAATTGTTTGCCGGGCCTGGTCTCCTGAAGGGGGGAGGCGGGAGAGGCGGGGGCCCCCCAAACACGGTGCGGTGAGCACACCGTGTGGATCTAGGCCTCCCGGGTTGGGGCCCGAGCAGCTGGGCCGCAGGCGATTCCCCCCCCCCCCCCCCGTTTTCCCCGAGTTCCGCCTGAAGAGTTCGGCCGCTCAGGAAAATGGGGGAACCCTGGGATGCACCCCAAGGGGGCAAGTCGGACGCATCCCTTTTTCGAGGATGGACGCCCCCCATCATGTCCCAGGGATGGCCCCAAGAATTCAGGTCCACTCGAAAACACCACGCAGCCTGGAATAGGGGTCGACACATCCCCTGCTCATAGGGTCGCAGGATCGCACCGCATCGCCGATACACTGGAGATGTGCCTCAATGTGAAGCCCGATGTTCTCAACGCCGACGTTGCATCGGTGATGCATTGGCGATACGGCGCGATCATCCGACCCCATCAACTCGGGCCCCATATGGGAGGCCTCTGGCCGTTCAGGGTTCGCGGTTACAGTATTTGTTTTCTGCAGTGCGTCACGATTGGGACGCGGAGCGATAGCAATTATTCACGTTCAGAGTAACCCCACCAGCCTTGGCTGCGCCCCGACTTCGGTTGGCTAATTGCATTTGCGCGCTCCTGGACCTGGTTCCTGGCAGCTGCAGCCCGCACCCCCTCCGCTCCGGTGATCTGAGGTGCCGCCTAGGCCTCTGCTTGCTAGCGCGTTTGGCAATCAGGTTTGCGCGCGGACCGCCCGTTCCGTTACTCGCCGCCTGCGCCTTAGCGGTTGCGACAAAAAGTAACCCCACCAGCCCATCTAGCAACGATGCCTAGACGAGTTACCTTGATGAGGGAAGTGGGGGAGCATGCCGAGGAACAAAGGGCTGGGGAAACCGTCATACCCCAAGAGGAGGAGGATGGGGAGCAGGAATCGGAGCAGGATTATGAGGCGGAGGGGGAGGAGGAGGAGGAGGAGGAGGAGGAGGAAGAAGAGGAGGAGGAAAAGGAGGAGGAGGAGGAGGAGGAGGAGGAGGAGAAGGAGGAGGGGGTAGGAGGGAGAAGGGAGCAGGAGGAGGAGGAATAGGCGGTTCATGAGGAGGAAAAGGAGGAGGAGGAGGAGCAGGAGGAGGAGGAGGAGGAGGAGGAGGAGGAAAAGGGCGAGCAGAAGGACTTTATGCCTCTTGGGTGTTTCTCGGAGTTTCTTCGGATGTCTCTTGGGAGCTTCCTGAAGGCCTCTTGGGGCGTCTTGGGGGCCTCTTGGCTGTCCCGGGGGCCTCTTGGAGTGTCTTGGGTGCCTCGGGAAGCCTTTTTGGGCCTCTTAGCGGCCTCTTGGGGGCCTCTTGGGAGCCTCTTTGGGCCTCCTGGGCTCTCTTGGGATCCCTGGAGTGCCTCTTGGGGCTGTCGTGGCGGGCGTCAGTGACCAGAGGGGGGGGCCTGCCGTTTAGTCCCCCTCTGGGGCCATCAAAATAGCCTCTTGGGACGCTCTTGGGATTCTCTTGGGGCGCTCTTGGGCGGCCTTGGGGCCGTCTTGGGGGCATCGTGGGCCCCTCTTGGAACTCTCTTTGGCCATCTTGGGTGGCCACCTTGACGCCTCGAAGACGCATCGGAAGCGAAAAGGGGAGAAGGCACAAAGCATTGATTATCCCAAGGCTTCTGAAGGATGTTGGCTTCCCCGGGAGGTCTTGAAGGGTGTCCAAAAGCACATGGAACCGTCTTGTCGCGCTTTTGGGGCCTCCTGGAGGCATGTGGGTGGCTATCTCGAGCCTGGTAGGGCTACCTTGAGCGATCTTGGAGGCCGTCTTGGGCTCTTTGAGGCCCTCTTAGAGCCATCTCAGGCTAATATTGGACGCCCTGACACCTCGCGAACCCCGCCGTCCAGGTCCACGGGACGGGGTAGGGGGAGGGGTAAAGCCCTCCCCGCAGGGGAGGAGGGGTTTCTGGAAGAGGAAAGAGAAACATCGTTAGACCACCTGCGCACAGAGGGCTGGTGGGATTTGTGCCTAGTCTGAGACGGCTTACTTGTCGTTGCCGCCGCAGCGGCCGCTGTCGGTTTCGAACAGCGTTCATTGTTGAGTATCGTCTCCAATGTTGTCCGTCCCATTGTCGGACGTGCCAATCCATGTCTATTGCCTGGTGATATTTACTCCCCCGGCTTTTGCGCGGATGCCCCGCGCGGAACGCATCCGTTGGACTGCGTATCATTGGGATCGGGCCTTTGTATCCACACTGCGAGGGTACGGATACCGCCGTCGCTCGTGGAGGGCTCCCTTTTGGGCCCATCTCGGTGCCTGATCCCGTGCGTTGGTTGAGAAGGCAGCCGTGTGGGTTCGATGCGAAGTGGGCGGCGGAGAGAAACGGGCTCGACAGCGCCAGCACTCGCGTTCAGCTTCCCGCGAAAGGTCGTATGAGGAAGGGTATGAGGCGCGGCAGCGTTGCGTTTCATTTTCCTGCCTCACGCTCACGTGGGCGAGCGTAAGTGGCAAGTGCCAGGATGCCCTTCGGGAGGTTGAGCGGCACTAGCGCCACCCAGTGGACGCACTTAGGCCTGCGCGGATAGCAGAAGGCCTTTCGGGGAAAAAAAAGCTTCGCGAGGCGCGCAATGGTTGTATTTTCTGATCCACACGCCCGCGCCGTTAGATCTGTGACGACGCTCGCGCGGCGATATTTCGACGTGAGTCCGACGTGAATCCTGCGTGAAACCGGCGTGGATCCGGCTTGAGCCCGGCGCGGATCCGACCTGCATCCGACGCGAGTCCCGTGCAAGTCCGCCGTGCATCCGGCGTGGGTCCGTTGCGAACCCGACATGACTCCCTGGCGTGGGCCCGACGTCAGAAACGCAAAGGCTTCGGGCGGCGTCGCCAGCGAGGGTGGTTTCAGAGGCCGCCCCCTGCCCGCGGCGGGTCCTTCGGCTCGGCGGCGAGCCCGGGGGGAACTGCGAAGGGGCAGGCCTTCTCAGAAGGCTCGGACGCCCCCCGGCCTTTCGAGACCTGTTCAAAGCCTTACCCGAAGACGCGGAGTATTCTTCAGAAGGCGCGGGGGGTTCTGACCCCCCCCCCGCCGTCCGACAAGGCCCTCTCGCGCTCGTTCTTCCCCCCTCGCTCGCCGCCGAAAAGGAGAAAGTGGCTCCAGAACGCCCGCCCGTTGCCTGTGCAGCGCCCTTGGGCGCCCCCCCCCCGTTCCTCCTCCTCCTCCTCCTCCTCCTTCTCCTCCTTCTCCCTCCTCTTCCTCCTCCTTCTCTTTCTCCTCCTTCTCCTCGTCCTCCCTCTCTCCCTCATCCTCCTCGTCCTCCTCTCTCCTCGTGTTCCTCCTCTCCTCCTCCTCTCCTCCTCTCCTCCCTCCTCCTCCTGCTCCTCCTCCTCCTCCTCCTCCCCCTCCTCCCTCCTCCCCCTCCTCCTCCTCCTCCTCCTCCTCCTCCTCCTCCTCCTCCTCCTCCTCCTCCTCCTCCTCCCTCTCCTCCTCCTCCTCCTCCCCCTCTTCCTCCTCCTCCTCCTCCTCCTCCTCCTCCTCCTCCTCCTCCTCCTCCTCCTCCTCCTGTTCGCCCTCGTGATCTTCTCGTCCCCGTGCTCGTCGATGGCCTTCCGACGCAACATCGAGCATCGCGGCCCGCGCCGCGCCCCTCGGCGCCTCCTCCTCCACCCCTCGCCCCCGCGGGCGGGGCCCATGGCCGTCGCCATGGCCGCCGCGCTGGCGCCCGCCGAGGCTGGCCTCTGGGCCCGGCTCGCGAGGAGCTGCGGCCTGTCCCCATCGCCGAACGCGTCAAGTCGGGCAGTGTCCCCCCTCCTAGAGGAGGAACATCAAAAAGTAATACCAACAAGTGAAAGTCGGGGGACGATGTTCTATCACTATGGTTGACCATGCTTATGTATTTTTGGCTCTCTTTCTCCGTCGTCCAAAACCAGCCTGTGGGAGGACACGCCCGACCTGATACTAGCGTTTTGCACGCTTGTGTGTTGGTCGAAATCCAGGTTCCCAACATACTTCAGACGCCTTCCTACTTCAACGAACGAGTGCCCTTCATATTGCATTCCCCTTTCGGGGGCGGGCCCAAGCCTGTCCTGTTTTGATCGGGCCGCTGTGTCATACCCGCCCCCGCGGCCCGCCAAAAACCTTGCACCAAAGGCATTCTCACCCAGGGTCACTCTTGCGTGTAGGCGACCCTCGTCTCGTGGAGGAGGGGGGAAGTTCGCCGCGGTTCCGCCGCGCCACGCTCTGTTTCCTCCTCCTCCTCCTCCTCTTCATCCCCCTCCTCCTCCTGCGCTCCTCCTCCTCCTCCTCCTCCTCCTGCTCGTCCTCCTCTTCTCCTCGTGTTCCCCCTCCCCCTCCTCCTCCTCGCCTTCCGCCTCCCCCCTCCTCCTCTTTCTCCCCACCGCGCGCGGCTTCGGCAGCTACGGCGCCGGGGCGGGCCGTGGGTCGCTATCTTCCGGCAACCGCGGAGTGGATGTTGTCGTCGTCGTCGTTGTCGTCGTCTCTCGACGCGTGCGATCCTCATCCTTCTTCTCCCCCTCGTCCTCCTCCTGCTCCTCTTCCTCCGCCTCCTCCTTGTCCTCCCGTTCCTCATGCTCCTTCTCGTCTTCCGTCTTCCCCCTCGTCCTCGTCTCCCTCCCCCCATACATGCTCGCGTTGTTTGGACAAAAAAACATAACGAGACTGTTTTGGCCGTTTTCGGCTTCCGTGGGCCCTCGCAGGGCACCGTGCCGCTGCCAACACTTTTGTTCGGTTCGAAAAGCATGGTTTGGAGAAAGGGTCGGGATATCGGATGTCTGTGTCCTCGTCCTTTTCCGTTAGTTTCTACCGCTTCGGTCTTCTCCCTGTCCTCATCACTGTAGCGTACCAGCTGCTGATCAGATCCAACCGACAATTCAACCATCTACTTCGTGTTAGTATGTTATAGCGAGTCGCCGCGACTTGTACATTGTTACCACCATTTCGGCTTTACTAGAAGCAAGTCGGCGCTCGTGAACGCAGTTCGGCGTTCTCATAAGGAGCTTGGCGGTCTTAGAAGCGGTTTTGTCGTTCCTATACTTCACGTTGTAGCCAATTCAACGTAAACACCCACCTACGTAGAACATCCAGTCTCGTGGTGACCCCGTCGTCCACGAGTCACATCCAAAAGTGGATTGATCGTTGTCGGGGCCAGTCGTGATCGTCATCGTCGTGCGGATTTGCGCATTGGCAGATTTCGCATGGGTGAGCTTCCTTGTTTGGGAAAGATGAAGGCGCCGTTCTACTGAAGGCCGCACCCATCGAACGTCCAGGACTCACCCATCGAGGTGTTATTCCTGTCGCTCTTGCAGCAGGCGGAGAGTTCTTATGTGAAAAGAATTGCCCGAGGGTGCCCAGTTGCCTGCGACAAGTCTCGCCACGGTGCAAGCCCAGCGCTCCCGGGTGCGATTGCTCGAGGGTGTGCGGGAGACCGTCACGCGTGACATCTCGTGCTCCCTGGCCAGGGAGAGCCGTCATGAGAATGACGAGGGTAATCTGAATGTCGGTGTTGGGTGGTGGTGATGTGGATGATGTCGATGATGAGGAATATGATGGCGATGATGATGATTGGGTTGGTGATGGTTGATGGCGATAGTGTTGGTCATGGTGATGATCATGATGTTGGTGGTGATGATGCTTATTGTGGTTTGGATGATATTGATGATGTTGGTGGTGGTGGTGATTCGGATGAGAAGTCGGATGAGCAGGATGGCGGTGGCGATATATTTTAGCAGGAACGCCTTAATAGGGAATCGTGCTTATTGAAACCTTAGAGAATTTGTCGACTGGAATCCTTAACAAGCATTCGTTATTCGGGAAATTGTACTAGGTATTCCCTAGGCCTAGAAGTATGTAGGGAATCCGTCTCAAGGGTTCCCCAGTGAGGAATCCTTGGTAGGGAAACCTTGAGAAAGAAATCTGTAGCAGGTCTTTCCGAGTAAGGAGGTCACATTTGGAAATCCAGAGTAAGAAGTCTTTAACACGGAATCCTCATTATGGTGTTCCAGGGGTAGCATTAGTGAGGAATGTTTAACAGGGGATTCTTAATGATAAGTCCTTAACATAAGCCCATCGTCGGGCTTCCTCAGAGCGGAATCTTCAGTAGGGAGATCGTAATATGGATCATTTATGTAGAAATCTTTAGTACGGCAATGTCAGTGAGGATTTTCTTAGTAGGGGTCTACATTAAGGAATCAGCTGCAGAGGCGCACCAAAAGGGTTCCTCAGTGAGGCAATTCAATCATGAAACCCTGGTAAGGAATCCTTGGTAAGGCATTCTTTCTGGCGTGTTGAAGCAGCAGACGAAGCAGCAGATGAAGCAAGGATGCCCTTCTTGGAGCCGAGTCGCGTGACGGGGTGCAATGTGGGCGATCGTCATCGCGGCCGCAAGGTGTGCCTCGTCGCCATCGCCGCAGCCGCCGTCGCCGTCATTTTCGCGCCCACGGCAACACTGCCCGGGGCCATTTGGGTTCAATATTGGCCCTGTATTCCCATACCGAGTGCCGGCCAAAGACAGACAGCGGAACGCCCTGTCAGGGCTCCACGACCTGGCAGAGGTTGGCTCTCGGCAAGCAGGCGCTGGGTCGACCTCATGAGCGCAGGTTTCCGATGCTTTCCGCGCCCAGGTGGTTGCTGCCTGCCGCGCAAGTCCAGCGACGTTGCGCCGAGGGCGCGCGGTCCAGACACCGCTTCGTTCCGTTCCCGCCAGTGGCTTGGGCTCTGGGCGCGCGACCCGGCGCAAGCATTGCAGGCGCGTCAACTGACAGGTCGCAAGCATGGCCCCGCCGTGTCCGCGTTATCGCGCGCGCCGCGGGCGTTGTCGCTTGATCGGCGGAGACGCCGGTCGTGGCTCGGCGCAGACACCGCGGGCGCGTCAAATGATGCGGAGCAGGCATCGCCACGCCATCGGGCTGTCAGCGCAGGCAGAGCGGGGCAGTCGGTTGATCCGCGCGGGCGCTGGGCTCGTCCAGGCGCAGGCACCGCGGGCGCGTCAAGTAATGATGCGCGGGCATCCTCGCCATCGCGCCACCAGCGCGGGCACCTCGGGAATTGTTGTCGCTTCGCGAATCCCCACCAGCCCATCCAGAAACGATGCCCAGAGGAATTGCCTCGATCAGAGAAGTGGGCAGCACACAGAGGAAGCCATTATGAGACATCTTGGGATATCTTGAGCCATCTTGGAGGTCATTTTGGGCTCTCCCAGACGCTCTTGGAGTCATCTTAATCCGTGCCCCCCCCCAAGAGGCCTCCATGTGGCTAAAACCTGTGTAGAATCAATGATTAGGCATTCTCGCCGAGGCCTCTTGGAGCATCTTGGGTGCATCTGGGGGGGCTCTTGGGGCCTCTTGGGGGTCTCTTGGGGGCCTCCGGGGGGCCTCTTGGGGGCCTCTTGGGGCCATTTTGGGGCCATCTTGGGACCTCTTGGGGCTTCCTGGGCGCTTCTTGGGGCCATCTTGGAGGAGATCGATCAAACAAGAGGGGGGGTTTAATTAGCGTCCCCCCTCGGAAGCCCCTAAAATCGCCTCTTGGACCCCTCTTGGAACGCTCTTGGAGTGCTCTTGGGCGCTCTTGGGGCCGTCTTGGGGCTCTTTTGGGGCTCTCTTGGGGCCCTCTTGGGCCATCTTGGAACCATCTCCAGGCCTCGGATGGCCATCGGAAGCGAAAAGGCGAGAAAGCAAAAATCATTGATTTTCCTTAGGTTTTGGGACGATTTTGGCCTCTTCGGGGCCTCCTTGGGGAGCTGTTTGGCCACTTGGAGTTATCTTGGGGCCGTCTTTGGGCTTCTTGGAACCATCTTAGGAGCCATCTCGAGCGATCTTGCGCTATCTTGAGCCATCTTGGAGCTCATCTTGGGTTCTCTGAGGCGCTCTTGGAGCCGTCTTGGGCCATCTGGGACGCTCTAACTACCCGCGGCCCCCCCCGTCCAGGTCCAGGGGAGGGGGTAGGGGGAGGGGTAAACCCCTCCCCAAGGGGGAAGAGGGAGGGGTGGAAGAGGATCTGCTCTAGACCACCTACGCCCAGAGGGCTGGTGGGATTTGCTGTTATCGTCGCAGGCACCGCCCGCTGTAAAGCGCGGGTACTTCCCGCGCGCCAGATAGTAAGGTGCAGGCGTCGCCAAGTCGCCGCAGGCGCCGTCGCAGGCGCGCTGGTCTCTTCTCTTCTGTTGTTTAACGGATGTATATATACATATTTATTGTATGTGCACCTATATATACACACATATATATATATATAACACAACATGTGTTGAATCAAAAACGGCACATGCGTTTTTTTTGGGTTTGAGTGATATCCGGTTAAGAGCTCAAGGGGGGTGGAGGCGGGGGGGGGGCGCGCGTGTCTTTGCACGCATCAGCGCCATTGCCCTCGGCGGGGCGCCGCGCCCTCTGCGGGTCCGAGCGCGGGGCGGGCGGGGTCAATGGGGGGCGGGTGAGCCAGCGAGCGAGGCCTCGGAAGCTCGAGCGCGCCACGCCGAGCCGCGGCGGCGCTGATTCGAGCGCGCACCATTCCGCGCGCCGGTAGGAATGCATTGTTTATCTGGTCCATGGCGAGTCCGTGGCAGGCATGGAATCATGGCGGCACAGATTTGATGAGTATGATAGCAATGCGCCTGTCGTAAGGACCTTGAGTAGGGAATCCGTAGTCAGGAGCCCGTAGCAGGGCATCCTTGGTAAGGAACCCTTCATTCAAATCCGTCAGACAAAGGAAACGCTTGTCCGCGTTTTTCTATACCAAATCTTTGGTAGGAAGGCCCCCGTAGGGCATCGTTCTAGAGGAAATTCTGGTACGAAGGATTGCTTGATACAGAACAGAATTCGTAGTACAACAGGTTTTTCGTGAAGGGACTGCAGCAAGGAATTCTTATTGTTGTTTGTTTTGATCGGAGTTTGCAGCAAGGAATCATCACTACGGACTCTTTTTTATACAGGACCGTCAAGAAACATGTTCTTATCCAGGAATCATGACTTATGATCCCTGGTCGGAAGTGTTGAAGAGAGAATGTTTCTTCTGGAACCTTTTTGACGGGGAATCCTTACTGATAAATCCTTTGTCAGTCAGGAAGCCTTAGTACGGACTTGTTCGTATCAGTACGGTTTTCTCAGCACGTTTTTTTAGTCAGGAGTTCGTTAAAAGGGTTTGTGTTGGAAGCCCTTAGTAAGACAAGCTTATTCAAGAAAAACGAACAGGGAATGTTCAGCGGGGCGTCCTCAACAAGGAATTTGCGGCAAGGATTCCTTAGTGGGGAATTTTCATTAAATGTTTCACACTGTTAATCCTTAACAGGGAAATATTTTGTACAGAGGGAATAATATGGCAGTGGGGAATCTTTATCAGGCCTATCCTGAGCAAATCTTTAGTCCGAGTTCGTGGAATCCGTTTTACGGTATCCTTCGTAGTGAGTCTCTCGTACGGACGTATTGGTTGGGAACCCCGAGTAAGGAGGCATTATCCCGAATGCCTCCGCAAGGGAAGTCTTGTATGGATATCGGAGTGAGGAGCTTTTCGCAGGAAATCTGTAGTAGGCAATATGTGTAGAAGTTTTTAGAACGGATCCTTAATCGGGAATCCTGAGCAGGGGGTACTTGCTGGAAATCCCGGTTCTAGCTCAAATTCCAATAGAATTGGTTCCAGTTCTATTTTTTTCATTGTAGTTCCGTTGGAACAGACATGGAGATCGCGCGTGGAACAGGTGACGAGGGAGCACATGCGAACGATTTTTCATATGTTCAATTGTCAGTCGGTGGTGGTTGTTGAGGCTGTTTTTGCTTGGGTGTGTATTTATGAGTGGCTGACGTCGCAGTCTTGTCGCCCCGCTTGAGTACCAGGTGTGGCGGCCGGCGGCACGGGAGCGAGTGACGCGCTTCTCAAGGCCGATTTGATTTTGCTGTTGTTGTTGTGGCCTTTTTGAGGTAGCATTGGGGTAGTATTTTGGGCCTTGGAAAGCGTCTTCGGATCTGTTGGGTTCCTTTACGTAAGGGCTCTTTGGGGTGATCTTGGAATGATTTGAGACCCCAGAGGCGCATCGGAATCAATGCGCCAGAAGGCGACAATGATTGACGAGCCTCTGGTTGTGCAATTGTTTTTGCCTCCTGGGTGGCGCAGAGCCACCTTCATCCGTCTGGCGGCTGCATTTGGGCCTCATGGGGGAAGGTCATAGTAAGTATTGGTCAAAGGGAGCTTGCGCTATGTGAGGACCTGTTGGAGCCACCCAGATTTATCTTGGACGACTTCACCCCCCTCACGAGTCCCCCACCCAGCTTCCCCTGGGGCGCTTGGGCAGGGGATCCGAAGGGGAATCTACGGGGAATGGACTGCTGGTGGGATGTCTGACGCCAGCGCCAGCTCATTCTTGTCGGCGTCGCCAGAAGGTTCGTTCGTCGAATTCTCACGCGTGGGCGCCCCACTAGCAGCCTCGCACCCCTCACTTGGCATCCTCGCTGGTAAGGCTTGGGGGTACGCAGAGACAGCCCCTTCGAGGCAGTCTCGGCTGGCCACGGCAGGTTCCCCGAGTAGTCCGGGGAGGTCCTGTGCAGCGAACCGAATCGATCGCTGGTTCAAAAATGGGGTCCTGAGGGATGGGGTCCTAAAGACGAGGTACCTCAAACAATGTAAATCTACCCTTGGATATCTTCCTTTCCTTAGGACCCCATCCCTCAGGACCCCATCTTTGAACTGCCGAATCGAGCTCGTCTGGCCCACGGGCGACGCCGTCCATCTCGTACCCTCGGGCGCGCCAGCAGGAGCGGCACGCGCCCAGTGGAGCACTGGATCCGCTCCCTGGGCGGCGCCGGGCTGCCCCTTGCGGAGGCAGCGCCCGCACCGCTGGCTGAGGTGGACAACGCAGGCGCAGCGGCGGGGGCTGGGCAGGGGCACCCGTTTCTTTTGTTGTTCTGCTCTTGTGTATGTCTATATTCTTGTATTCATGCATGTATATATATATATATATATACAGATTCGCGACAGCGCCCCTTACCAGGACGGGGAGGGACCACACCTGGTAACGTCGCGTTTCGCGCCCGCGCCGTCATTGGCAATTAGCTACCTTTCCAGCCATTGTCGGCGCGAATCGTGATGTTGCCAAGTGGGAAGGGCAGGGGGAACATCCCCCGTACGGGCCGTTATCGCGAATCGTAAGAAAAGCGCGCTCCAGCGCGGCTGGGCCTAATCAGGTTGTGCCGCGTTCATGCTGGGCCGCAGGGGAGCCCCTGGTCTCGCAAGGATCGGCTTAGCAAGTACTGTCCCAATAACTTGTTCTGGTTTGCACGAACTTCTCTTCGAACGCGCTGTGATTGGACAGCCTTGTTTTATCACTTGCTTATATGATATGAGACTGTTATTTGATGTTCAAGAATATGTGTGTTTTAAGAACTTCGTGGCAGGGCTATAGGGGTACCAGGACGGTCGGTCCCTGCTCAATTGGATCGAAGCCACGCAACGGAATGCAACATGGGCGGGCGCGTGTTGTGCCGGGCCGACGTCGTGTCCCTGGTCTGAATTGGGCGTTTTGTCTTGCCCAGTCACGGGAGGAGGTGCGGATTGGGACCGCAGTGTTGGAGCAGATTTGGATTTGGCTAGGAATCTTATGTGGCCCAGCACTGGAAGCGTGCAAGAATGGGGGGGGCGAGGTTCAAAGTTCTGAGTTCGAGGAGATGTTTTGCCTTTTCGAACCCCGGGGGCCATGTTCAGGCCCCACACCGTCGGACACGGATCCAGGGTGAGAAGCTGGACCGGGAGGGGCCTTGGGATCGATATGGAATTGGTTTGGTTTCCTCCTCCTCCTCATCCTCCTCCACCTAGGGTCCCAAGCAGTTCAGACCCCCTGGCCACATCTGGTGCCTTCGAGCCGGGGACGCGCCCCGAGCAGGCCAGGTTGTGCATTGCCTTCGCGCAGCGTTTAGTCGGGCGCAAATAGTCTGGGGACGATGTTTTGAGCATTTTTTGGCTGTTTTTCAGCATGTCTTAAAATCCGCATGTAGGAGGACATGCCCGACCTAAGCGCAGCGTTGCCTCGTCCGCGCGCGCAACACGCGCACCACGAACCGAAACCGAAACAGATCTCGTGCTCGGGGGGCGCGGTTTCCTTTTGACATCCCCTTTCCCTAACCCCCGATTCCCCGAATATGAATTACGACTTCCAAGTTCCAGGTCTTATGAGGGTCAAGCATCTGGTTCGAAGTCCGACGGTGAGCAGACGTTTGATTTGACCCCTGGAAGCCGAAGCCGTGCGCGAATCTTTCACGTGCAAAGTTTAAGCAGCGAAGCCGCGAGAAACACCATCGCGCGCGCCCGAAGCTGCGCGCGAAGCCGGAGCGTGTGCGGAGCGCGCGCGACGGTTTTAGTTTTGTTACGTTCAAGCGTGGTCGTTGACAGCCAGAGGTGGCGGTGTTAGGTGATGCCACGATGGGGATGACAGTATTCTGGGTGATGGACGGTTCGATGATGGCAGATGTATTTCATTGGGTGTGCGATATTGTTGGATGGTTCCCATTGTTGCGGCGTGCTGCAACAGTGCCCGCTGGCATTGATGCCGTTTTCCGAAATTCGTGTACCCCCAAAACGCGCGGCTTTGTCCATCTGGGCTTCCGCTCCTCCTCCTCCTCCTCCTCCTCCTCCTCGTCCTCCTCCTCGTCCTCGTGTACCCCCAAAACGCGCGGCTTTGTCCTCCTCCTCGTCCTCCTCCTCGTCTTCCTCGTCCTCCTCCTCCTCCTCCTCCTCCTCCTCCTCCTCCCCTCCTCCTATCCTCTGCCCCTGCCCTGGTCTCCCTCGCCTGCACTTTTTTTTCGCTGCCGGTGTGGATCTCCGCGTCCCTCTATAAGCCTCCGAGATGGGGTCGGAGGATTGCAAAAAACGAAGGATTGCAAAACAACAAAGGGTTTTTTTGCAATCCTTCGTTCACACGAGGGTTTGTTTGCAATCCTGGGTTTTTTTGCAATCCTTCCTGGGGTCGCAGGATCGCGCCGCATCGCCGACGCATCGGCGATGCGGGGCCCGATTTTCTCCACGCCCGCGTCGCCGATGCATCGCCGACGTCGACGATGCGTCGCCGGTGTATCCCCGATGCATCGCCGATGCATCGCCGATGCATCGCCGGTGCGGCGCGATCATCCGACTCCAGCAACTCCTAGCCTCTAGTCCCCCCCCCGCGACCACAGACGCCATCATCCTGGAGCGCGTGGAGGCCGATGGCGGCACAGCGGTGGACGCCGCAGGTGCGGGCAGCACCACAATATGCTCCGCCCTGGCAGTCGTGGCGTCCTCTCTTCCTCGTCTCCGCGTGCGCGCGTCGGCACGAACGAAATGGGTACGGAAAGAATGGGTACAATGCCCAACAGCAGTTCTTGTTCATTTTGAACAGGACTCGCTGTCGGTGTCGCTGCTTTCCCATGGCGCCGAATAGCGTCCAGCAGCGCCGACCAGCGCTCAAATGGAGCCCAATGGCGACCAACAGCGCCCCCCAGCGCCACGGGAGGGAGAGGACTTCTGTCTGCTCTGCGCGCGATAGGGCTCCCCATTCGGCGCCGTGCATGGGACGGTCAGAGGCTTCCGTGAGCTGCTGTCTGAGCAGCGTGAGAGGGAGGAGGCCTTCCCAGCAGGCTCGGCAGGCTCCCGGCCTTCCGAGAAGTTGCGTGAGCTTTCCCCGGCGACACAGATTGCAGGCGATGTGTCTCCCCCAATCCCCGAGTTTTGCCCGAAAAGTTTGGCCGTTCAGCAGCAGGGGGAAACCCTGGGATACACCCCGTGGGGGCTGTCCAGACGCACCCCTACCGAGGCTGGACGCCCCCCCATCCGTATATCCCAGGGTTGGGCCCCAGATTCTTGGCCCCTGCGGAGACCTCCCAGAGCCTGGGATAGGGGTCGACTTCTCCCCCTGCGAACAGAACATGTTTTACCCAGACATCCAGCCGCTCCATTTTTTGCTGATGCGTGGGCGCAGGAGGTCCAGAACACTTCCCCGGGGCCGGTTGTGCGTCCCGAGTCGCTGTTTGATGCTCCCGAAGCCGTGCGAGGGCCCCTGCAGGGGGGCCGAGCATGGCCAAAATCCCGCGACTCCAATTGTTGTTGGAGCGTCGGCTCTCTGCGCAGAAGGCGCGAGGGCTTCCGAGAAGTCCCGCCGCCTTCTGAGACCTGGCATCGCTCGGATGTGTGCATATTTATTTTCCCCAGCGAGAACCCTCGAAGACCATCCTGGAGCCTCGAGCCCAAACATCGCGCACGAGACCGACAAAAGTGCACGGGACATGGACGTCCGAGCACGCAAACAGACGCACGAAAGGTGCACGGGAAAGGCACCCACAGATCACGCAAGAGTCTCCTCCGAGACGGCCTCCTCCTTCCCACTCCTCCCCCCCTCCCTCGCCGCTGGGAGGAGCCGGCGGGCCCACCCGGCCCGCCCCCCACGGGCCTCCCGCGGCAGAGAGAGGGGGGAGAGGCGGCGGGCACGAGGCGCGCGGGCGAGAGCGGCACAGCAGGCTGCGATGTAAGCGGCCCACGCCCTTGGGCCTGGCTCCCTCGCGCCCCCCCAAACTGCGCACCAAAGGTCACTCTTGCCCAGGGTCACTCTTACGTCTAGCCGACGTTCATACTCCTCCGATTCGATTCGATTCGAATGGCTTCAGATTCCGCCCTCGCTCGCCGCCGGGAGGAGCCGGCGGGCCCACCCGACCCCCGCGGGGGTCGCCGGGAGAGGGCCGGCGGGCATGAGGCGCGCGGGCGAGGGCGGCACTGCAGACGTCACGGGTCCGGTGTCGGCCTCATTCTTCCCGGTTCGGCAGGGCTCGCTCATGCTCCTCCGATTCGATTCGAGTGGCTTCCGATTCCGATTCGCTTCGCTTTCGGATTCCGATGTGGGCTCCGATTCCTCAATGGAGGCCCGCTGGCCCGCCGTTTTCCGCCGATTCGACTTCTCCTGACTCGGCTGCCGATTTCCGCCGATCCGATTCGTGTCGATTGCCGATCCGACTTGTCGATTCGATCCTGGGCTCTCCTGTCAGCCTCGTTCTCCCTTGATTACTCGGCGGCGAGCCAGGGGGGGAAGTGAGAAGGAGGAGGCCTTCTCGGAAGGTGGCGGGACTTCTCAGAAGCCCTCGCGCCTTCTGAGAAGTTTTCTGTTGTTGTCTTCGGTATAGGCTCAGAAAACTCCTCCGAAGGCGAGGGGACTTCCGAGCCTGCTGAGAAGGCCTCCTCCTCGCGTCCCCCCTGGCTCGCCGCCGACCCACCTTCGCGTCCAGCGAAGCTGACGAAGGAACAACACACACACAAATACACACACACCCATACCCAGGGGGGGTCGGCGGGAGGAGGACTGGCTATGTACGGGTAATTCCGTGGGTGCGGGCTGTCGGGCCCCAGGGAGGCTCCCGCTCGAGCAGGGCCCCCCATCGTGCAGCGCGCACACACGGCCCACTCCGCCACCTGCATGTGCATAGGTGCGTGCTCTTTCATGCGGTGTATCTCCTGTTGCCTGTCCGCCGGACCAGTCGCCCTTTGCCCAGCCGTTGGCGCAGAAAGGGTGCGTGCTGTCCCGTCGTCAGCACCTGGATTCTGCTCGGAGCCCTGAGTCGTCAGGGCTGGGACGTGGATGAGTCCGTTCCAGAGCGTTCCAGAACGCTCTCAGAGCGTTCCGGAACGCTCTGAGAAGTCCGCGGCGCCCGAGACATCTTCCAGCTACGCCCGATCTCACAGATTATCGGTTTATCCTCACCCGATTTTATCCTCGTTCTGGCTTCGTCTTAGCGTGCTGTCCTTTCGTCAGAGGCTGGATTCTGCTCACAGCCCCGAATCAGCAGGGCTGGGGGTTGGCATGGGCATAGCTCCTGATGCGTGCCCCGCGGGGGCCCAAACCAGAGTGACCTCTGTGACCAGAGTTCTCCCAGATCATACACAGGTCGGGGGCCGCGAAGAGGGGGTGATGACCAGGGGGCTGGTGGATATCATGGCGGGGGCCATGATATCTCCCCAGATTTCCTGGTGCCTCTTCTTATCACTACACGTCCCCGCCCCCCCCCCCCCGGGCCGCGCACATGAGGCCGGCCATGGCTTGCGCCCCACCCTTCTTGGACGCCCCCTGCGCGGCCGCCCCCGAGCATAGGGGCTGGGGGTGGTCAGGGGGTCGCTCCTGGTTCGTGCCTCGGGGGCCCAAACTGGAGTTGCACAGGACCGGAGCCATCCCAGGCTAGTCGAGCTTGCGACGTTCGACTACGCGCAAGAGTGACCTTTCGCCAGAGTGACCTTTGTGGTGCGGGCACAATGGGGTCCCCCGATGACCGATTGCGATGCGATGGTAGCGTCTGGCGCGCCTGAGTTCGGTACCCCCGCGGCCCCCCCAAAAGCCGCGCAACAAAGGTAATTTTTATGCAGGGTCACTCTTGCGTAGAGCCGAGACGTGTTTTTCCTTCTTGGTTCTCATGCAGGTGCAGACCTGCACGGCATTTCCCTCGCCCCCTTCTTTCCGCCAGCCTCCTCAAACCGTGCTGGGCCGAACACCATGGGCGTGCAAGCGAGTCCCAGCTTGCATGACGTTCCGATTTCCATTCGGGCAACGCCACGCCCTCCCCCACTCCCCCTCAAGGAAGATTCCTCCTGTTCGTCCGATGCAACTCTTAGGAGGTCAGATTCTGACTTTGCACTGGTCCGGAATCCGGCTTTATCCCGCTTTATCCAGCTTAACCGCGCCTAATGCAGATAGATCCCGCTTGATCCGGAGCCTAATCCGGCGTAGCAGCCCCCAAACTCCCTAATCGTAAATCGGGCATGTCGTTCTACAGGAGGAGTATTCCAAAACAGTCCAAAAATCAGCCAGGTGAGGAATTCTCAGCCATTTACCTAACAGCTTTTGCTGATAGGTTTCTAGTGGTCTCAAAAGAGAGCAGCAGATGACTCCTCAGGGGGGTCGGGGCGGGACCCGGACAGGCTGCCGCCGCGGCTGCCGCCGAAGCCGAAATCGCTTGGGACATCCTCGCAAAATCGCTCTTGGTGCTCCCAGAACTCCATTCCCGGGCCACATTTTGGATGCCCGGAGCCAACTGTAGGCCACTTCGTGCTCTTCGACTTCCCAGAACTCCATTCCCGGGCCACATTTTGGATGCCCGGAGCCAACTGTAGGCCACTTCGTGCTCTTCGATTTCCCAGAACTCCATTCCCGGGCCACATTTTGGATGCCCGGAGCCAACTGTAGGCCACTTCGTGCTCTTCAAGTTCCCAGAACTCCATTCCTGGGCATGATTTTGAATGCCCGGAGCCAACTGTAGGCCACTTCGTGTTCTTCTAGTTCCCAGAACTCCATTCCTGGGCCACATTTTGAACGCTGAGGCAGGCTGATGCTGCGGGAGGCAGGAGGCAGGCTGAGGCTGAGGCCGAGGCTGAGGCTGAGAGGCTGAGGCTGAGGCTGAAGCAGACTGAGGCTGAGGCTGAGGCAGGCTGAGGCTGAGGCTGAAGCAGGCTGATGCTGAGGCAGGCTGAGGCTGAGGCTGAGGCTGATGCAGGCTGAGGCTGAGGCAGGCTGAGGCTGAGGCCGAGGCTGAAGGCAGACTGAGGCTGAGGCTGAAGCAGGCTGAGGCTGAGGCTGAGGCAGGCTGAGGCTGAGGCAGGCTGAGGCTGAGGCTGAGGCAGGCTGAGGCTGAGGCTGTGACTGCGACTGCCGTTGCCGCTGCGACTGTCATCGCGAATGCGACTACGACTGCGAGAACAGCAGAATTCTACAACTGGATTTTCATCTGAATCTCAAGGGGAATGCTTTCAGATATGCTTCTACACATCGCTGTTAGGTTGCTTTGCCGGGATACTTTTAACTATGTTCGAATATTTTTGGAACATTCTATGATTTTTCCAAATCCGCCTGTAGGAGGACACGCCCGACCGAACCCGAGTCTTTCGACGAAGACCTCCCAGTAGTTGCCTCCTAACCGTTCGTCACGAGAAAGGAGGTTTAGAGTGAGGAGCGGGTGTGGCGTTCGCGGGTCTCGAGCCCGTCTCTCCCGGCAAGGGGCCCGTGGCCGTCAGCAGATTACGCTGGGGCGAAGCGACGGTTCTAGGGGGAGTTTCGGGGTCCTGTGCCTGTATCTCTCTCTACTACACGTAAAAGTAAGTTTTCGCCAGACTGACCTTTGGTGCGGGTCTACTGGGCTCCCCCGAGAGCCGAAGGCGATGCGGCAGTATCGTCTTGCGCGCTTGTGTTTGATTCCCCCGCGGCCCTTCAAAAGCCGCGCACCAGAGGTCACTCTTACCCAGGGTCACTGAGCATCGACCAGGATCCGTCTCCCTCATGGCAGTGTCGCGCCATGTGCAGCTGCCTGCGGCAATACCTGCCGCCGTGCCTGTGCAACGGCGCAGCAGGAAGGAGGCTGAGCATGACACGGGGAAGTTGTCAATAATCACCTCACATCCCGTATTCCAATGATATAGGTTTCGCGTGGTGCTAAACGTCTCGTTCGGCAAAACTGCACCCTGGAATTATTGATAACGTTGCGGTGCTACGGTTAACCCCGGGGTGGTCTTTCACTACTTCTTGATGTTAAGGTCAGTGCAATCCTCACGATCGACCTGAATTTGGAAGGGTCGTGATTTCGACCTCGTCTTCGTCAGCGCGGTAGGAAGGACGAGGAGGAGCAGGAGGCGGAGGAGGAGGAGGAGGCGGAGGAGGAGGAGGAGGAGGAGGAGGACAGGGAGCAAATGAGGACGAGGAGGAGAAGGCCTCTTCGGGCCCTCTTGGGGCATCCTAGGGCCTCTTAGGGCCTCTTGGGGGCGTCCTGGGGCCTTTCGGGGCTTCTTGGGCCGTCTCAGGGGACTCTTGGCACGTCTGACGCCTTCGGAGGCCCTCTTCGGGGCCTCTGGGCTGTCTTGGTGCCCTCTCGGGGCGCTCCAGGGCCTTCTTTTAGGCCCTTTTGGGAGCCCCTTCGGCGAGGTTGGGGTCCGCTTGGGCCGGCTTGGGGCCTTCTTGGGTGCATTTTGGGATGTTTTGGAATTCTATTGGCGTCCTCTTGGAGGCTTCTTGGGCCGTCTTGGGCGGTCGGAAGCCCCATCAGGTGAGAAACTTCATATCCATCAAAAACCGAAGGCGCATCGTTCGTGTTGGCCTCCTCTGACTCTCCTGGATGGCCTCTTGGAGCCGTCTTGAGCCCTCTTGGGCCGTCTTGAGGCCTCTTGGGGCGCGTTGAGGCCGTCTTGAGAGCCTCGTGAGCGGTCTTGTGGAATCTTGGGGGGGGCCGTCTTCATCTCATCTTGGTTGTCTTGGAAGCCCTCTCGGACGTCATCTTGGCCGTCTGGAGGCCACATGACTGCCAGAGAGCAAACTCGTGCGGTGCGATCTCAGAGGGGTGCTTGCGGTGCTAGAGATGCGGGTGGCCCCGGAACATTTTGAAGAACTTCCCAGGCAACAGATGGGCATTCTACCACGCCCACTCCGTGCAGGCACGGTGGCGGATCTTCGTTTTCCCTTTGGGCTCCTCGTCCGCCCTCCCTCCGAGAGGCCGCGCTTCGGAGCGTGTCGATGTCCCACGGTTTGGAGCTTTGACGGCGCATCCAGGTTCCTGCCCCCCCATCCTGTTTGACTCTTCTTCCTCTTCCCTCGCAGCTGCCTCAGCACCAGCAAGAAGGGAAAGGGATAGGGAGGTAAACATTGCATCGCTCGGTCGTGTGCATTTCTCTCGGCAAGGACCATCGAGGAGCATTTGGGGTTATCTTGCGAAACAACACACGCGGGGAACCGACACATGCACGAGGATTGGACGTCCGAGCGATGGCGATCAAAGGTGACTGAGTCTTGAAAGCTTTTCTGCGTTTTCGGGGTCGCCGTCAAAATTACGAGTCGGGGTGATAAGCATTGTCCTGGGGGGAGCCCCGTGTCCAGGACCCGTTCTCGTGAGGGCCCTTTCCCACTTTGGGAGGCCTCCCTTTGGAGTGTCGACGGCCTGTCGGTGGACGCTCCAAGGTAGAAGAGGCACGCCAAGCAGATCGGGCGAGTTCGAGTGATTATCTGGCGTTGCTCGATCGTCCCTCTATGGGGAGCCTGAGCGGGACAGGCTTGATTGTCTGAAGGTTCTGTGCCATTCCTGTTGGCCATGCGCGTCGGACCGAGTCGTCAAGGTAGGGCGCGTTCTGAAGAGTGAAGTGCTTGGTGATGCGTGGCAGAGGATCGAGGTCCGCAGAGGCGCCTGCAACTTTGCCAGACACATACCATACAGTGGAGGCCCATGCCAAGAAACACCCTGCTTGCCTCGAGGGTGCCCTGGGTTTCGACGGTTTTGCGATGGAAATCGTGACGTTCCCACACCAAAAATCAGGGGGTCTCAGGGTTGGCTTTCTTATCGATGGTCTCTTGTGCGCTGGGCCACACAGTATTGGACAAACCACAGGAGCAAAACCAGGGGACGCCTTGGGGTCTCGGGGTTGGGGCTGATGGAAGATTTCTTGTGGACTGGCCCCCCACTGCATCGGACACACACACATACCACAGGAGCACAGGCCTCATATCCAATTGTAGTAACACTAGGGGAGTCTCATGCTGCCCCGCAAGGTGGCACCTCAACTGCAATAGCATCGCCAACTTCGCTTGGACGCGATGTGAGGGGAGGGCGCCTCAGCATGCAGGACGGGCACCCGCAGGGATGGCTTCTGGCGTCGTTGGTAGAATGAGTTGTATCTCGATCGTCCACGATCTCATTACACAGGTAGACACCAGGGCGATGCATGAGATGGGACTGTCAACGCTTCGTCGTGTCTTCACCAGCAATGGGGCGGATAGCCCATCCAGGAACGATGCCCAGGACAGCTGACGGTAGAAGGGAAGAAGAGATGCACATAGTGAACCAGAGCGGGCAACAACGGTGAATTGCGAGATCTTTTGTGGCGACGGTTGCAAGTGTTACTGCTGGTGCTCTTGCTCCTGCTGGTACTGCTGCTGCTGTTGCTAGTGCTAGTGCTGCTGCTGTCGCTGCTGATGGTGCTGGTTCTAGGATGATGAGTCGGCGGATAAGGGGGAGGAGATGGAGGAGGAGGAGGAGGAGGAGGAGGAGGAGGAGGAGAAAAAGGACAAGGAAAAGGAGGAATAAGCATGATGAACACAAGATCCTCTTAGGATGTCACTTGTGAGTTGTTTTGGAAACTTCTTGGAGCGTCTGGGGGGGATCTTGGGGGCCTCGGGGATCCCCTCGAAGCCTCTTGGGGGTTTCTTGGAGGTCTCCTGACTCCTGAATGCCTCTCGGAGCCCCTTGGGATATCTTTGTTTGGAGGCCTCTTGCCGCCGCCGCCGTCGCCGCCGCCGCCGCCCCCGCCGCCGCCGCCGCCCCCGCCGCCGCCGCCGCCCCCGCCGCCGCCGCCCCCGCCGCCGCCGCAGCCGCCGCAGCCGCCGCAGCCGCCGCTGCCGCCGCCAAGTGTATTCTGTATTTGTTCGACAGGGATGGTGGGGGGAGGCCGCATCGGGTTCGCTGCGCATGCTCCGAATTTGGAGACAGAGTGTGCTTTATATTGTTTGTTGCAATGGATGGTGGGAGCAGAGTGTGTGTTTGTATGGTTTTTTACAAGGGATGGTGGCTGGGGGGTGCCCGCATGGACCTGGGTTGGATCCCAGCCGCCTGGGGGGACGGGGTGCATACTATTGGGGAACAGTGATAAACCCCTCCCCGGAGGGGAAGTAGGAGGGATAACCGAGGAAACGCTCTAGACCACCTACGCCCAAATGGCTGGTGGTATTTTTGAATCAAACCTTCTCGAGCCGCACGACAGCCTCGTCAACACAGCCAGATCCAGCCCCCTGGAGATGCAGGGTGCGAGATAAACGGGGGTTTTGCGATGTCGTGGGCCGTTTTCGTTTTTATCTGCTTCGCTCGAGTTTGTCCTCGCTCCAGTTTCGTCTTGCCTCGGGCCCATGTGCAGATCGTGCACTGGGCGGCGCGTCGTCCCCGAGCGGCGTGGGGCCGGGATGGGGTGCCCCGTGGGGTTTCGAGAGCCAGGGGGCTCGCGGCGGCACGGAGCGAGGCCACGGGCGAGCCCGGGGGAGCGGCACGCAGACCAGGCAACACGGGGTGCATTTATCTTTCTGGTTGAATCAAACTGGAGGATCAGCGAACAGATGTGGTGGAACTGCAGTAGGTGTGGAAGGTTTCTCACCGAGCGCGTTCCCCTTCTTGCAAAGTGCCTACTCACAAACGTCCGAAGCAAACACATGGCGGTATCGGTGCCTTCTGGTTTCCCAAGACAGCAGTTCCTGTCAATTTTGATATCGATTCGCTGTCGGCGTCGTGCGCGTCCGCGCCGCCCGCCCGCCCGACCGCCGCCGCCGCCGCCCGCCGCCGCCGCCCCGCCGCCGCCGCCGCCGCCGCCGCCGCGCACGCCGCCGCCGCGCCGCAGTCGTTGCCGCCACCGCTGCCGCCGCCGCCGCCGCCGCCGCCCCCGCCGCCGCCGCCGCCGCCGCCCCCGCCGCCGCCGCCGCCGCCCCCGCCACCCCCGCAGCCGCCGCAGCCGGTGCCCCGACCGCAGCCGCCGCAGCCGCCGCCGCCGCCAAGTGTACTCTGTATTTGTTTGACAAGGATTGTGGGGAGGCCGCATCGGGTTCGCCGCGCATGCTCCGAATTTGGAAACAGAGTGTGTTTTATATGGTTTGTTATAGGGGATCGTGGAGGCAAAGTGTGTGTTTGTATTGCTCCTTTTTACAGGGGATGGTGGGGGGGGGGTGCCCGCATGGACCTGGGTTGGTTCCCGGTCGCCTGGGGGAGGGGGTGCATACTATTGGGGAACAGTGATAAACCCTTCCCCGAAGGGGAAGTAGGAGGGATGACGCAGGCAACGCTCTAGACCACCTACGCCCAAAGGGCTGGTGGTATTTTTGAACCTTCTCGAGCCGCACGACAGCCTCGTCAACACGACCAGATCCTGCCCCCTGGAGATGCAGGGTGCGAGATAAACGGGGTTTTGCGATGTCGTGGGCCGTTTTCGTTTTGATTTGCTTCGCCCGAGTTTGTCCTCGCTCCAGCTCGGGCCCATGTGCAGATCGTGCACTGGGCGGCGCGTCGTCCCCGAGCGGCGTGGGGCCGGGATGGGGTGCCCCGTGGGGCTTCGAGAGCCGGGGGGCTCGCGGCGGCACGGAGCGAGGCCACGGGCGAGCCCGGGGGAGCGGCACGCAGACCAGGCAGCACGGGGTGCATCTATCTTTCTGGTTGAATCAAACTGGAGGATCAGCGAACAAATGTGGTGGAACTGCAGTAGGTGTGGAAGGCTTCTCACCGAACGCGTTCCCCTTCTTGCAAAGTGCCTACTCACAAACGTCCGAAGCAAACACATGGCGGTATCGGTGCCTTCTGGTTTCCCAAGACAGCAGTTCCTGTCAATTTTGAAATCGATTCGCTGTCGGCGTCGCCGCCGCCGCCCGCCGCCGCCGCCGCCGCGCCGCCCCGCCGCCGCTGCCGCCGCTGCCGCCGCCGCCGCCGCCACCGCGCCGCCTCCCCGAACAGGAAGAGGAAATTCCTTAAACCAACTACGTCCAGAGGGCTGGTGGGATTGGGCCACATAGATTCCAACACACAGTTTGCAAGACAAAGGTTGCACCAAGACAGCAGTTCCTGTCAATTTTGATATCGATTCGCTGTCGGCGTCGCGCCGCCGCCCGCCGCCGCCGCGCCGGCGCCCGCCGCCGCCGCCCCGCCGCCGCTGCCCGCCGCCGCCGCCGCCGCCCCGCCGCCGCCCCCGCCGCCGCCGCCGCCGCGCCGCCGCACCGCTGCCGCCGCCGCCGCCGCCGCCGCCGCCGCCGTCGCCGCCGCCGCCGCCGCCGCCTGCCGCCGCCGCCGCCGCCCCCGCCGCCGCCGCCGCCGCCCCCGCCACCCCCGCAGCCGCCGCAGCCGGTGCCCCGACCGCAGCCGCCGCAGCCGCCGCCGCCGCCAAGTGTACTCTGTATTTGTTTGACAAGGATTGTGGGGAGGCCGCATCGGGTTCGCCGCGCATGCTCCGAATTTGGAAATAGAATGTGTTTTATATGGTTTGTTACAGGGGATCGTGGAGGCAAAGTGTGTGTTTGTATTGCTCTTTTTTACAGGGGATGGCGGGGGGGGGGTGCCCGCATGGACCTGGGTTGGTTCCCGGTCGCCTGGGGGAGGGGGTGCATACTATTGGGGAACAGTGATAAACCCTTCCCCGAAGGGGAAGTAGGAGGGATGACGCAGGCAACGCTCTAGACCACCTACGCCCAAAGGGCTGGTGGTATTTTTGAACCTGCTCGAGCCGCACGACAGCCTCGTCAACACGACCAGATCCTGCCCCCTGGAGATGCAGGGTGCGAGATAAACGGGGTTTTGCGATGTCGTGGGCCGTTTTCGTTTTTATTTGTTTCGCCCGAGTTTGTCCTCGCTCCAGCTCGGGCCCATGTGCAGATCGTGCACTGGGCGGCGCGTCGTCCCCGAGCGGCGTGGGGCCGGGATGGGGTGCCCCGTGGGGCTTCGAGAGCCGGGGGGCTCGCGGCGGCACGGAGCGAAACCACGGGCGAACCCGGGGGAGCGGCACGCAGACCAGGCAGCACGGGGTGCATCTATCTTTCTGGTTGAATCAAACTGGAGGATCAGCGAACAGATGTGGTGGAACTGCAGTAGGTGTGGAAGGCTTCTCACCGAGCGCGTTCCCCTTCTTGCAAAGTGCCTATTCACAAACGTCCGAAGCAAACACATGGCGGTATCGGTGCCTTCTGGTTTCCCAAGACAGCAGTTCCTGTCAATTTTGAAATCGATTCGCTGTCGGCGTCGCCGCCGCCGGCGCCCCGCCGCCGCTGCCGCCGCTGTCCGCCGCCGCCGCCGCCACCGCGCCGCCCGCCGCCGCCGCCGCCGCCGCCCCCGCTGCCACATCGCCGCCGCCGCAGCCGCTGCCGCCGCAGTCGGTGCCGTCACCGCTGCCGCCGCCGCCGCCGCCACCGCCTCCCCGAACAGGAAGATGAAACTCCTTAAACCAACTACGTCCAGAGGGCTGGTTGGATTGGGCCACATAGATTCCAACACACAGTTTGCAAGACAAAGGTTGCACCACACAGACTGCACCATGTAGACTGCGCCGCGCATGTGGCATAACATGCGTTGAAAACCAGGCTCTGCAGGACCCCCCTTGGGCACTATAGGCCTTCCTTCTCGTATTGCAATTTACGTACGATCCTGCCCCATCGACCGTCCGAAATACGAATACATACCAACAAAGGCCGGCCGGTATCGAGCCCCCCCCGTCATCCTCTGCAGGAAAAACTATGCGCGCGCACTCGTTTATCAAAAGTCAGAAGTTGTCAATAATCCCTTGCAAAACAAATCTGGCGAAGTGCGCACGCGCGAGTCGTCGCGCGCGCAGGCCCGTTTCAGAAACCTTCGGTTTCGCAAGGATTTCTAAAAACACAAATAATCATATAAGCTCACGTGGGTTCGCAACACGGATTTCCAAAAAAAACGTTCGTGCGCCGTTTTTCGAATTGAATTTGTAAGCCGCAGGTTCTTCAACATTTTCAGAAGATGCTATCAAACGGATTTCGCGCGCTCGCGCGTCGAAATCGACCGAACGCCCTTGCGCGCATGCCGTCGCGAGAACTTGTTTTGCAAGAAGTGACACGAGGTGCGCACGCGCTCGTGTTCGCGCGCGCATGCCGGAATCCGTCGAACACCTTTTTGGTTTCAAAGCGATTTCAATGTCCAGCATATACAAAAACACACGGTTTCGCAACATCAGTTTTGAAAAAAAAACGTGCGTTCGCAATTTTGCGCATTCTACCGAAAAACCGTGGGTTACCGTTTCATCGAATTCTGCCAAAACGGGCCTCCCACGCCGCATGCCGACATCATTCGCACGCCTTTGCGCGCGTGTTGGGGGAGCACAGCCCGTGTTAAATAATACCACACCAGCCAACGCCAAACATGCATCGCAATCGCCACCGCATGGGTTTTGCAAACCAAGTTGCGGGTGGGTGGGTGGGATGTTTGCAAGGGCGCGGATGGTGTCAACTCGTTTGTTAAGATCAATTGCGCCACGTAATGTGCACAATATAAAAAGTTTCGGGGCACGTATGTCGCACGTGCTATAGTGCACCACGGAGGCTCAAAAGAGAATAGACCCCCCCCGAGATCATTGGCACCCCTTTCTTTCGTGCCGCAGTTTACATATGATTTTGCCCCGTCGCCCATTTCAAATACGAGCTTGTACCGTCCTAGCCAGGCCGGTATCGGGTTCCCCGGTCAATTTGTTGCAAAACATAGTACACGCGCGCGTTAGTTTATCAACCAGAAGTTTGCAACAAACACCATGCAAAACATGAGACGAAGTGCGCACGCGTGCGTCGTCGAGCGCGCATGCCGAAATCCGTCGAACATGTGTTTTCAAACCAAAAAAGTGTTTTCGCGATCGTGCGAACTCTTGAGAAAATCTTTCTGGTTATCCAACTGTTTCATGGAATTCTGCCAAATGAGCCTTCCGCGCCGCATGCCGGCATCATTCGCTCTCCGTTGCGCGCGTGTTGGGGGAGCACAGCCCGTGTCAAATAGTACCATGCGGGCCAATCTCGCGCGTCGGCCGCGCGCGCATGTCGAACTCTTTCCAAACCTCCATCACCGACGCGGGGACGCCGACATCGTCGTCGGCGTGATCAGCATCCGCGCAGTGTGTAGCCGTGCTGTCGTCGTTGTCCGCATTGTCATCAGCATCGCTGCTATGATCACCGTGTCTACCGTCGTTGACATTGCCATTACACCGCGCCCGCCCAAGCCGCCGACTCGCACTGAAGTGCCCGCAGGGATGTGCTCAGCGGTCAGCGCCACCGCGGCGGCGTCGGTCGCGCCGAAGTAGGTGGCCGCTACGCCCGCGTGCATGCGTGGGCTGTCGCGGCCACCGCGATGCACCAGCCAGCGCCATACATCCATCGCAATCTTTTCCGCATGGGGTATGCAAACTAAGTTGCGGGTGGGTGGGTGGGTGGGATGTTTGCGCGGGCGGTGGAGTGGACAGCTTCAAATTGAGCATCGGTTGGTTGCGCAGCATTGGTTGTACCACGTAGTTTGCACCACTCAGATTGCACCACGTAGAGGGCACAACCTATTTTAAACACGCTTCGATTGCATTGCACAACATCTCGTGCACCACGTAGAATGCACAACAAATATAACACCACGCAGATTGCACCACAAAGGCTGCACCATTCAGATTGCACGCTATAGATTGCTTAAAACACACGGCATGGGGTCCACGCTGGCCAACACTTGTTTCACGATCCATGTTTCTACCAGATTTTCTGGCCGGGGCCCTTCACGGATGTCCTGGCCGACGGAATCCGCAGAAACATCGGAACATCACGTTTTGTCGCGAGGTTGCACGAATTTGTGTTTTTGTCCAGACTGCCTTGGGTCTCGAGTTGGTGCGTGGGCGAGCGGTGCACGCGTGCTTCATGCGAGCACGTTGATCGAAATTCCACTAGTTGTGTTCAGTCGTCAGAAGACCGTCTGATTATGCGCCCGTGCGGAGTAGGGAGCAGGAACCTTATGATTGGGAGGTTGAGTTGGAAGGGCGAGATCGCTCTTGGCGAAGGCCAGTGCTGGAGGTATGCCCCGTCATCTAGCCCTGAAGTGCTGGACGCGCACTGTTTCTTCGCGTTCGGGGTCGCCACGGTGGCAGCGATCGCTCCTCGCACGCCGTGCGCGCCTGCATCTCCTCGCTGCAGTTCGCAGCGGGCACGCGACAGCATGCGCGCCGCGCGCGCTCGGCGTACCCACTGTGACCTCTGCTCGCCGACCCGCGGGCTCCGGAGGCAGCCGGGGGCTGCCCAGCGAATCTCCCGGCCGCTCGCCGCACCCTTCCTTTGTGACCGGCGCAGCAGCCCAGCTCCCGAGGAGGAGGAGGAGGAGGAGGAGGAGGAGGAAAATTCATGGAAGGGCCGAGCTCCTGGCGCGGGCTCGGCTCGCTCGCAGCAGGGGGGGGCGCGCCGACGGCCGCGAAGGTCGGCGAGGGGCCGCCGACGGCCGTCGGGCACACACCAGGCGATCGCAAGCATGGATCGAGGGGGGCGTGGATTGGCGACGGGTCCCGTTTCCATGGGAAATCGAGGACTTTCGCCGCAGAGCGAGGCGGCAGCCGCCGCATTTTGGGAAGGGCACCTCCCCCGATCCATGGACCTGGCGGCCGCGCGCCAAGTCCCTGGATCGTTAATCCATGTTTGCGCCTTCCCGAATGTAGCCAAGGGATCCGTGGTCGGACGCGTGACGTTCGAGGTGTGGCGGCCCGCCATCCGCGACACGGAGGGAACCGTGGGTCTCGCGCGCAGAGGGGTGGGCAGGTCGTGTTCGGCGGCCTCGCCTGTGCGCTCCACGGCGTCCTGACGCCCTTCGCGGAGCAGGCGCTCGCGAAGTGCAGCGGGGGTCTGGTCATCGGAGTGGGGAGGAGCGACACCACCATCGCCACCATCAACGGGCCACATGCAGCGAAGAGGTCCACGATGCCTTCCCGAGCTGGAAGGTCGACGCGTCTCGAGCTGGTATGGGGGACTACACCACAGGGGGGGACCCTCCCTGACCCAACGCGATGGAAGTGGTGGCGTAGGTGTTTTTTGATCGTGCAATCTCATAATAGAGAATTGATTGGAACCTTGGCAATGATGACTCTAGCAGTGCGCAGTTGCCCTGAGCACATGTAAGCGATCAGGGAGCCAATCTGAGCGCCGGAAATTGGCATGGCGGCCCGCGCCGCGGATCCGATACGCACAGATGATGACTAGCGAGGTGTGGAGCGGTCCGCAGCGGGGAGTCCCTTTGGCGAGGTTTGAACGGTTGGATCACGTTTCTTCCAAATTGGGCTTGCTTGCCAAGGGTTTGACTTGCTTCGGTGTGCATGGGGCTGACTGGCCACCTCGTCGTTGCGTGGGCGCCTGTGTTTATGTTGCCTTGTATGGTACATTATTATTGGCTCGTGCTGGCTTCTGCTGTGCTCAGTAATAGTTTGCCAGAGGTGTGCATTGCTATGCCATGGTGTGCCATGCTACGCGACGTCATGCTGAGCAGTGCTGTGGTATTCTGCCCAGTGCAATGCAGCGGTCTGCCATGATTTGCGATTCGTTGCCGTAGTGTGCAAGACCATGCCAGGCCATGTGAAGGTGCGCATTTCTATGCACATCGATAGTATACAATGGAATGCAACGCGCTGCTAGATTGTCGTACCACGGCAAGGAGTGCAATGCAATTCACATCTATGATACGCAATGTTCCACGCTGCTGCACGATACCATGTCAAGCATTGCTATCATGTTTCTCACGACGCGGTGCAACACCACGCTGTGCTGGTGTGGCATGGAGTGCCATGCCATGCTACGCTTTGCTATATCATGCGATGCTTGCCTGTGATATGCCACGGTGTGTTGTGCTAGATTGTACTCGTAAACTTAGCCGTGCATTACATTACTAGACCCTGCCATACGTTGCAATGCGCAGCTATATTATCCACTGCAGCTCAGTGCAACGCTACCTATGGGTGAACGGACATCGACGGCACCAGGGATTCAATGGAATTGCAGGGGTCCAGAGGAAGCTATGATACCGTATTTCCTGGGAATCCCTCCCCCCCCCCTTCCACGACCCCGTGAAGTCGAAATTGCAAGCGGGTGAGACAGGGCGTGTCTGGACAAGTCGCCAGGGCCTGAAAGAGTGTTCTTGTTTAGCTTGCCGATGTCCGAATGCACACGCCATGAGGTCTCCAGCAGACTGTCACGTTTCGTATTCATCGTATTTCTTACTTAGGTTATCGGACGGATGATCGTATGTATGGGATGTATGGGTATGTTGGATTGTGCGTGTATGCTAGTGTGACTAAATTAGTGCACCTGTATCTGCTCTGTCGATAAGCGTGAAGCGACTTTCCTTAAGCCTGTCACACATAAGGTGTGCAGCCTTCACCCACTCTCGAATAATACCTGCTGTCATGATCTGTTCACGCACACGTGGTGTACATGCTCCTGCGAATATAGTGTGCCATGTGTCTAAACGTGCATTCTCATGCGCGTGTCTCTTCTGCTGTGCATGTGATTACGTTTGTGAAGCCGACGTGGCGATGCGATTCGTATCTGCTCGTGCACATGCACGTACGTTCCCAAGCAGTGTCAGTCACAACCGATCCGAGTTCAGCCACGGCAGGCATGGTGTCAGATTCGTGTATATATATATGTGTAAATAAATATATATATATATATATATATATATATATTCAGATGCATGGATAGAGAGAGAGGGAGGGCGAGATAGAGAGAGAGAGAGAGAGCGAGAGAGAGCGATAGGCGGTTATTTGGCACATCACAAGTTGATGGACATATCTTACAGGGGTGTGGACGTGGCGTTAGTTTTTATAAAACTGCATGCCGCACCGTCGCCATCGTGCCAGCAAAGCACACCGCGTGGCGACCCTGGGGGCCTTGGACAGGGCTCGTTTCGATTCCTCCGATTTGGTTCGATTCGACTTCGATGGCTCCCGATTCTGATCCGACTCGATTTGGGATTCGATGTGGGCTCCATTGGAGGCATACTAGCCTCCCGATGCCCGCCGATTCGACTTTTCCCGACTCGGCTGCCGATTTCCGCTGATCCGATCCATTTCGATCGCCCGATCCGAGTTATCAATTCGCCACGCCGACGTCCCCGATGCATCGCCGATGCATCGCTGATACATCGGCGATGCATTGGCGATGCGGCGGGATCCTTCGACCCCACCTAGGAGGCCTCTATGTACACCGATTGCAGGCGCCAGCCAGGACCAGCCATGTGGTCAGTTTGCGTTCCCCGAAGAGGGTGCGGGTCGCGGAGTTCGATGTTTAGGAGGGCCGAGATGGGAGGAAGGTAGAAACATTGTCTGTTTGAACAGTGGCGCAGGCGAGCGCCAACGCGGCCGAAATGCTGGAGGGCCGCGCCAGATCAGAGCTCACTAGACAAGATGCAAAGAAGAGAGTGGTCAGTTTGCGTATCCCGAAAGAGGTGCGATGCACTCGAAGAATAATAACGCCAAGAGCAGAAAGTTTTTGCGCTCCGCGCGGATTTCTCGGATGCGCGCTGGGCCCCCCCTGGCGGCGCCTCTGGCGCCGCCCCTGGCGCGCTCCGCACGCCAGGGAGGGAGGTCTAGCGCAGATCCCAGAAATCCGCGCGGAGCGCCAAATTTATGCTTGTGCCGTTTGTTGCTGTTTCTATTCACGGAGCCTGATGTTCAGGAGAGCTGAGATGGGATGGGGGTAGAATCATTGTTTTTGTTGGTCAGAAGGGTAGGCTGAGCGCCAACGCGGTCGGAAAGCCAGAGGGCCGCGCCGCATCAGAGTTCACTATAGTGAGTCGAGGAAAAGTGGCGTGGGGGGAGGGGGGAGCGCGGGGGGAGGCCGTAGGCGTGGGGAGTTTGCACCACGAGGAGTTTGCGGGCGGTCTCAGGTACCGAAAACCGTTGTATTGCAATGTGGGCGGTCAGGTTCGGTTGCCAATGGGGGGGCAGAAACTATTGGGACGATGGCCAACACGTGGTCTTCGCACTTTGAGCAGGGCGTGCTCTGTCTCGCCGCACGCGCTGACCCGTTTGAGCGAAGATAGTCGACCAAACAACGGTCGCTTGTTTCGTTTCTTCTTTCAAGGTTGTTGCCTGCACGCCGACGCACCGTCGGTAGAACCCAGTCACGTTTCGACTGCGTCTGCTCCACGGGGCCGACGCGGGCACCAACCCATTCGTGTAGTGTGAGATCCGTGGCGGGCGCTTTCTGGCCATACCGCTCGGGCAAAACCGTGTCGCGCGCGCCGTCGAGGGGTTCCATCTGGAGCCAGCGCCGCCTGGCTCGGCTGGCAGGCCGCGAGGCTCCGCTAGCGCGGGGCCCCGCCAGGGCGACAGGACCCTGCCAGATTTGGGCTGCAGAGCCAGATGTGGGCTGGGCCAAGGCCTGGGAGCCCCCCGACGCCCTGGAGGGAGGAAGACGAGGAGGAGGAGGAGGAGGAGGGGGAGGAGGAGGAGGAGGGGGAGGAGGAGCGAGGCGCGAGGAGGAGGAAGAGGAGGAGGAGGAGGAGAAGCGAGGAGGAGGAGGAGGAGGAGGAGGAGGAGGCCGAAGGGCGAGGAGGAGGAAGCGCAAGGAGGAGGATGCCCTCACACATAGATTGAGCCTGGTGGGGGCTGCGGGCAAGGTGTACATACGTATCCACTGTGGCTTGGATGTTCTGGGAAGGGGCGCCGAAAGGCCGAGGCGCGGTGGATACGGTTAAACATCTAGCCATTGGGGGCCAGATTTGTATCAATATCCACTGCGCCTCGGGGGTCTGGGGAAGGGAGCCCGAAACTCCAAGAAGTAGTCGCTATGGATACACATCTTCGTCACAAGTGAACTTTGCAGCGCAGTTTCTCCAACATCGGCGGGGCCGGGTTCATTTTGCCACGCGCAGAGGGGTGGCAGGGGGAAGGGGAGAAGGCTTCCTAGAAGCACCCCTGCTTCTTGGAAGGCGCGGGCCTTGTCTATAGAGGTAAGGCATGCGCCTTCTAAGACGCAGCCTCTTCCCCCCTCTCCCATACCTCCTCGTGCGCGACGCCATGGGAGTCAACCGCGCGAGCTCCCTTGCGAGGGCGCTCGCGCGTAGGCGCCCTCCCTCTTCTCCACTCTCGATCGGCGACAGAAATCACGAGGTGGACAAAGACCGGCAGCAGTTCCCGAACACTTTGGGCCTCCGAGAAGCCTTCCCGCCTCCACCTACCCTCACGTCGGGCATGCCCCTCCACATGAGGAGCATTCAAAAATTGTCACACACACACAGAAATAGTATGGGGACGTGTTTGCGACTATTTCGCATTATTTGTTGATCTTTCATTAATTATTTTTCCTCCAAAAACAGCCTGTAGGAGGACATGCCTGACCTACGTAACCCTACCCCTCGGCGCGCGCCGCCGATCATTAGCGCCGAGCCGGGCCAGCCCGCGCCCGAGAGGCGCCGGCGCACCCGCCGTGCGGGGGGGTGCAGCCAGGTGCGCAGGTGGCTGCCCGCGGACACGCCGCAGGGCGCACAGGGCGTGCTGGACACGGCCGCCCGGGCAGGCGCCGCGCTCCTCTCCTGAGCCACGCGCAGAGGGGGGTCGGCCAAGAGGGGGGGCGATGCCAAGGGGGGGGGGGATATCATGGCGTGGGCCATGATGGTTCCCCACATTTCATGGCGCCTCTTCTTATTCCATTACGTCCCCTCGCCCTCCCCCTGGGCCGCGCACATGCCGCCGGCCATGATTTGCGCCCCCCCCCCCCCCCCTTTTGGACCCCTCCCCCATTGGCCGCCCCCGAGCAGAGGGGTGCACAGTCGAAGTCTATGGGAAGGACGGGCGGTAAGGACGCAAGGGCCTCGGACGCCGAAGTTGGCACTTCTTCGGCAGCGGGTTGCCAGCACCCTGAAGGGATGGCCTGTAAAAGCCGCGAATGACGGGCCGCAGAGGCAAGGACGCAAGGGTAGCCTAAGGACACCCGTGCCTCCTTACTATGCGTTTTGACTGTATAGGAGCCTGTTTGTTTTTGTTCAAGGTCTGGACGATAACGGCCGTGATCGGCCCTCTCCCTCCCCCCCCTCCCGGATCACGTCACTCTATGTTGCCCACATTCGCAACAATGTCCTACGGATGTTTCGATGATTTCCTGAGATTTCTGGCGGCCCCCCGCCTTCATGTGATCGGGGGAGACGAACTTCCCCACCCTCCCCCGATCACGCCCGTTACCGCGAAGAATAACAGGCAGGCGTCAGGGGGGGGAAGACTTCTAAACGCACCCCTGCTTCTTAGAAGGCGCGGGCCTCGTTTATAGATGAAGGCCCGCGCCTTCGAAGAAACAGCCTCTTTCTAAGAAGCCTTCCACCCTTCCCCATATCCCCTCGTGCGCTCCGCGCTCCACTTGTCGAAAGAGAAACTTGCGCATTAGCGGGGACTTTCGACGGTCCGCGCGCAGTTGTGGGATCGGCCCCGGGCCCCCCTGACGGTGTCTCCCGCGCCGCCCCTGATGCGCTCCTCGCGCCAGAGATCGTGGGGCGGGTGCCGATCCAAGAAATCCTCGCGGAGCTACGGAAGCTCATGTTTACGGAGAGGTTTCTTCCTCTCACGATGCCCCCTAGAGCGTGTCAGAGTAGATGGGGTCGGAGGATCACGCCGCATCGCTGATGCATCGACGAAGCGGCTTAATGTGGGGTTGGGTGGTATCCACGCGGACGTCGCCGATGCATCGCCGACGTCGTTGATGCATCGCCGATGCATCGGTGATGCATCGATGATGCGGCGCGATCCTCCAACCCCATCCGCTCTGACTCCATCTAGGAGGTTTCTAGAGTCCCTGGGGCGAGGTCGGTGGTCCTCAAGACGGGTGTGTGCCCAGTGGCGGTGTGTGTGTGTGTGACAGAGGGGGGATGGGCTCAACGGTTCGAGGATAGAGGTTCGCGTTCTGGCAGTTGCTGGCAGTCCTGGGGCGCCTTCGTGGCAACGGCTGGATTCGCCCAGAAATTCTGGTCAGAACGCAGCTCAAAAGGCTCAGGGGGGGCGACAGGTTCCAGGTTCGAGGTTTTCGGCTGTTTTCGTCGGTTCTCTGCGGTTTTCCAGCCTCGGGATGCCTTCCGGCGGCAGCACAGGACAGGGGCCACATCTCGGGGGGGGGGGAGCACGTTTTCCAGAGGAGGGCGAGTTGAGTCAATGGCAGCTGTCCTTTGGGGGGCTCCTTCGCCACCACCGTTGGACGCAGCTCGGGCAACTCGTGCTTTAGGACTGGGAGGGGTCCGGGGAGCGATTTGGAATTCCCCATATCCTCAGATGGGGTTCTTGTTATTACTCGGACGCCGCTGACTCCAGAGAACCAGAGAGAATGCACCTACTCATACACAGACTTACTCATATTCAGACCTACTCATACTCATACCTTCTCATGGTCTGACTTACCCAACACACAACATGCAGGCCTACTCATACTCAGACTTACTCATGCTGGGGCTCCTTCATACCCAGACTTACTCATACCCAGACTCGTTCCCAGACCTGCTCATACACATACTTATTCATACTCAGACCTACACATACTCAGACCTTCTCATAGTCTGAGTTACTCAACGCACGGACTGAAACCTAACTACTCATACTCAGACCTACTACCCTCGTCAAAATTAACCTCAACAGTTGCTGGCACGTCATTTCGATTTCGGCACGCCCCTCAATGTCGACACGCCGCCCCTTCAATGTCGGGGCGAGGGCAAAGATAGTCTGACCGAAGTTGACTCGAAAGTTTGACGTCGACCGACATTGGAGGGGCGGCGCATGCAAGTACCCCGCACTCATCGATACTCGGCCACAGATCTTCCGACAAGCAGTTCAACCACGTCAGACATTTTTGAGGTTAATTTTGACGAGGGTTGTAGTCATACTCAGACTCGCAAAGGGAGCCGCCAGGGGTGTTTTCATGGGCCCGTTCGCGGCCAGTTTGTGGGGATGTCTCAGGCGGTTTGCTCGTTTTCATGCCCTATATCCTTGGCTTTCAGAACAAATTGTGAGGATGTCTCAGGCGGGGCGCTGGTTTCAGCACCCCTAAGGGGAGCCGCCAGGGGTGTTTTCACGGGCCCGTTCGCGGCCAGTTTGTGGGGATGTCTCAGGCGGTTTGCTCGTTTTCATGCCCAACATCCTTGGCTTTCAGAGCAAATTGTGAGGATGTCTCAGGCGGGGCGCTGGTTTCAGCACCCCTAAGGGGAGCCGCCAGGGGTGTTTTCACAGGCCCGTTCGCGGCCAGTTGGTGGGGATGTCTCAGGCGGTTTGTTCGTCTTCATGCCCAACGTCCTTGGCTTTCAGAGCAGATTTTGAGGATGTCTCAGGCAGGGCGCTGGTTTCAGCACCCCTGAGGGGAGCCGCCAGGGGTGTTTTCATGGGCCCGTTCGCGGCCAGTTTGTGGGGATGTCTTATGCGGTTTGCTTGTTTTCATGCCCAACATCATTGGCTTTCAGAGCAGATTGTGAGGATGTCTCAGGCGGGGCGCTGGTTTCAGCACCCCTGAGGGGAGCCGCCAGGGATGTTTTCACGGGCCCGTTCGCGGCCAGTTTGTGGGGATGTCTCAGGCGGCTTGTTCGTTTTCATGCCCAACAAGCACCCCCAAGGAGAGCCGCCAGGGGGAAGGACACGGGCCCGTTCGCGGCCATTTTGCGGGGATGTCTCAGGCGGTTTGCTGGTCAGTGCGCTGATGAACAGACGCTCGCTATGGCATGACATAAAACATGAGATGCACATATGGGGAGCTTCACGCAGTGAGTGATTGCGTTTCTTTTCAAGTCGCCTAACTCCGCAGAAGTGTGTGTCTGTGTGTGTGTTTGTGTGGCTCCTCCCCCCCGCCCGCGGCCGCCATGTTTGTCCAGTCCCCGCTCCTGCTCGCTGGCCAATTCGCTTCTCGGTGCCCCCATTTAGCTCTAGCGCCAGTGCAGCCAGCTCTGCCTCGTCGCCGACGACGAAGTACATGTGTGTGTGTGTGTCTGTGTCTGTGTCTGTGTCTGTTTCTGTGTCTGTGTCTTATTACGTGTCTGTGTGTGTGTGTGTGTGTGTGTGTTTGTGTCTCTGTGTGTTTTCCCCGGCCGACTTACCCGTTTCTTTCTCTGCGTCTTCCCCGCGCCGCGGTCGTTCCCCACCCTCGGTCGGCACAGCCCAGTCCTATTCCACTGAAGGCAGGCATCCCCCGCGTCATAAGAGTTGGAGGAGCCTCACATTCTTTCCTTCGCCCTGGTTTCACGGGAAAACGAAAAACATCACCCCTTCGCTGCTGCCTGCGCGGCCCCCTTGGGGAACACCTGGCACGCCCTGCTGGCTCTGGGCTGGGCCGCTCCCGCGCTAAATTCTTCGGGCTGGGCAGCCTGACTCCGCCGCGCACCGGCGCGAAGCGGCCGACTGCACCCCGCCTGTATCCGCCCGATTTGCGTTCGGTTCCGCCCTCTCGCTCGCCCTGCTTTTCGAAAAAATTCAAAGAAGAGACAACGCCGTAAGCATAAACGTTTGGCGCTCCGCGCGGATTTCTCGGATCCGCGTTGCGCTCCGCGCCGATTTGTCGGCCCCTCCGCCGCCGGCCGCTCCGCGCGCCAATGAAAGGAGGGCCCAGCGCAGATCTGGAGACGTTGCACCTCGGCACGCATACGCATACTTTCATGGCCCGAGCGGCTCCCTCGCCCACCAAGGTGGGCGCGGGAGCCTTTCCGGCCGCCCCGCGCCTCGGCGAAACCTCGTTTCTCTGTGCCCCGGAGTGCCTCGGCGCGCCTCGCCGCTGCTTGGACCGCCGTCTGGGCCCTCTTGGCGGCCGCTGCCGCAAGAGCGCCGGCCCTCCTCATCTTGCCTGCATTGCGTTGATGGGGTTTCGGTGCAGAGGCACACGTTGCCGCCAACGCGCCTTCTGAGGGCCACGAGGAGCGCGCGGCTCAGGATACAAAGCAGGCAATCACCGATCAAACGCGGATCCACAGATGTGAAGCGTAGTTCGTCTCTCTGCCCCTTGCTTCCGTATCCTCATGCATCCATCTCGTTTTTGTGTTTGTTCCTTTTTGTTATATCCGCAGCCGCTCCTCTTGTCTTGCCTTGCCCCCCACCCGGCCTCCGTCTCCAATGATGGTGGCAATGGCGGCGATTGGCGAGGACGGTAATTGTGGTGATGCGACGGCGCAGATGAGTCGGATGGTGAGGAACTCCGCGCGCGCCCCATTGATGTAAATGCGTCGGACGTCCCATTGATAAAATGCGTCGAGCACCAAAAGGTTCTGTACATTTTTGTCCCGCGCGCGTGGCGCCGCGCGCGTAGCGGCGCGCGCGTGTGGCCCGATTGGTGCCGTTTGATGCAGAAGCGTGCGTTGGGCGCGTACAGTATCAACGCGGATGCACCGCGTGATGACATGAGCACGGGGGTGTGGCCGATTTATTGTTCGCATACACGAACTCGCTGGTGAGAAGCGATTGCGTTCGCATGGGATCATTTGACATGGGCGCGGGGGCGATGATCGGTTGGCTGGGTTGGTGTGACGTCTCATGGAAAGTGCACGATGGGACAGACTAGTATGTAATCTA